TGCGGTAGAAAGATGGATAATAAAATATATGGAACCCATTGATTGATGGGTAGTCCGACGTATACATAAAACATGCAGATATAGATACATAACATGGAAAGATAGATAGGTAATTAAAGTATCGATTGAAATACTATGATAGACAGACAGACACGTAGATATAAAGAAAGAAAGACAGATTGCTAGATATATAGCTAGATATATAGCTAGATAGATAGCTAGATAGATAGATAGATTAAAGCCCTGTGATAGCCAAGAAAGCCATACATACATAGCTACATAATATTATTACAGATGGATTCCAAGAAAAACAACACTGTTAGGGGCCTCTTATTAAGAGGACATAAACATCCACAGAATCAGAAGAGAAACAGACGATGTTGGCTCACTTGGGTTGATACAGCTCTTCCCACACTTGCCGTCGCACATGCACTTCTTCTTCTGGCTCGTGCAGTCTTTGTCCGACACGCAACGCTTGGAGCATTTTCTGCCACCTCTGTCTTCCTGTCTCACGTGATCACACTCTTGACCTCTGACCCCTGAAAAATATAAAAATAAACACGGAGAATTAGATAGTGTAGGTTGATTGGACATGAAAATAGAGGATTATTATTTCATAGACATGTTTCAGTACATATTATTTCATAGACATGTTTCAGTACATTTTACTATTTCATAGACATGTTTCATAGACTTGTTTCAGAACATATTACCATTTCTTAGACATGTTTCAGTACATATTATTTCATAGACTTTTTTCAGTACATATCATTATTTCATAAACATGTTTCAGTACATATGATTTCATAGACATGTTTCAGTACACATTATTTCATAGACATGTTTCAGTACATATTATCATTTCGTAGACATGTTTCAGTACACATTATTTCGTAGACATGTTTCAGTACATATTATCGTTTCATAGACATGTTTCAGTAGCCTACATATTATTTCATAGACACTTTAAAGTAATTTAGGAGGCGGGCTGTTTCAATTGTACCTGTCGTTGTCATATACTTGTCCTTTGACTTCTGAGACACCACACGGGAATGAGAGTAGTGTATAGATAGATAGATAGATAGATAGATAGATAGATAGATAGATAGATAGATAGATA